ACACCATGACCACCCATCTGAACACATCTGAACACAGCATGGTCACCATGCCAAGACCCACTTCCAGGGACGGAAACTTGTTTTCAGATTCAAAACTCCGAACAACACCTAAACAGCTTACTCCTCTTATCAACAAACCACACATACTAATCAACCCGATTTTAATGTAACAATAATAGGGGTATTTTAATGTAACAATAGTCACTACTACCATCATTAATGTAACAATTAGAACATTTTAAATTCAAGAATACAACTAAAAATAGAAAAAAAAATTTAATCTTAATTTTAATTTTTTTTTTAATTTTTTTTTTAAAAAATTTAATCTTAATTTAAATTTTTTTTTTTTTTTTTTTATAGATGTGGGGACATAATTTTTGTCTTGTCCATATGGTTTGGCTTTTAGTGGAGGTGCCACATGATGGAGTGTTACTAGTCGAGGTATGTGAACGATTCACATTAGGGTCGAGACAAGGGGAGGAGGACATGAGTCCTAGTTGAATATTGACTCTGAAGTTGGATAAGATAAGACTCTATTGAGAGTAGACCCTAACCCAATTAGGATTAGTTGAGTACTAAGTGATTTGTTATTCTCTTTAGGGAATAAATGTTTGACATGAATACAATCGTTAGGGGGGTGACAGAGCACCCTATATAAAGCCACTATCGCGAGGGTCTAAAGTATGTCAATATTTGTTTTATTAATATTCTTGTTACTTTGTCGAATTATTTTGAGAGATTTGTTTATTTGAAGTGCCCTCACGGTTGAGGAGTAATCGGATTGGCTATTCTATACCTAACTAGGTTAGTTATTAGGGAAATTACATGTAGATGAGAGAAGGGAAAAAAAATTACATATACATTGGTTGAGGAGTAACTGGATTGGCCATTATGTTCGTAACTAAGTTAGTTATTGGGGAAACTACATGCAGATGGAAGAAGGGGTAAAAAATTATATACACATGGGGGTATAAATGTGTTTGTAGTAAGGTGTAAATGCAATGCTATGGGGAGCAAGTGTTACTTGCATCCTTCCATATATTAGTAATTTTTTTTCTTTCTTTTACCTGAATGTAATTTCTCTTTAATTATTCTGCCCAAGTGTAAAAGAGGATCGTGATTATGTAATCAAATTTTACCACATACAATAAAAAAAATATTTTTTATCGAAATAAACGGAGAGTTAAATGAAGGTGAACTTGAATACTTGACCTAATCCATTTTTCAGATTAGCCAACCAATTATGGGATTCTGAGAGAGCACAATAAAAATATATTGGAGGACTAAAAAGTGAAAGGAAAGAGAATTTTACCATGGAGAATGACATCACACACGTAGCTACTACAACCTCACGTGCAAGCAATCAACCATTCATGCATTCCCATAATTACAAATGTATACATACAAATACAATCATAGATCTCTTTTTCAGCTTTTTTATTATCATTTCTTCATATTATAGTGGAAGGACATTTAAAATAATTTTGATTTTTCCACCCCATTTTCTACTTCCTAAAATGAAAAGGAATTCTTAATTTGTTAGGAAAAATAATATATGTTATTGAATGAATTTTATTTTATTTTATTTATATATATTAATATTCTATGTGATCAACACAACAAATATCATGTGTATATATTTAAAAAATAAAGTTCAATTAATTATCTTTTAGCACTATGAAAAAACACAATTGGCAATGAAAAAAAGTATTTCAAAAAGTCATATTTTTGCTCCCAAAAATATAAGTGACGAGCATAGAATGTGGGATCGTATCTTTGGTTCGACAATTTTTTTTAAAACGATGACTATAATCTCATTTTCTGTGAGCTCATCCTTGACTTGGTTTATCACTTGCTCAGTTTGGCCATCTAATCTACATGGTTGATTGGATGTTTGATCGGATGTGCTATTCAAGCATTCAGTCGTGTCTTATGGATCTGGGGATGCTGCTGTGACTAAGTCACAGCAGCTATCTGTTGTGAGCTTGTGAAGACTTTTTTTCGAGTGTTTTTCGATAATCTGAACCATTTATAATGTAAGAGTCGTCAAGTATATCATCTATATAAAACAATCAAGTTAATCAGAAATTCGTAATCCCATGATCAGATTCAAATTGTTTTACAAAAATTATCAAGATAATGTCAATCGTTTATTTTTTAAAAAACAAATGTGCTATTATTATAAAGTTATAGATTTCCAATCAATTTGATTTTTTGCATGAATGATCTATTTGACAAACTTTACAATATAAACAGTTTAAATCATCAAAAAATACTCGAAAAAAGCCACCACACCCAGATCCGTGCCTTACACGGTCGTCACCCAATTAGCTCGGCCGAGAAGCGTGGTTGGACGAAATTATCACCCACACTAATTGTAATAACCATGTATGTCTATAATATATGCTTGCCATTGTAGGGATATGTGAAACAATCATAATTATGTACAGTTTTATTTTTAAAAAGAGACTTTTCAATTAATTCTCAAATTATTTTCCTTAATATGAATGAATGAAAATAATTGTGTGAGCATATATAGCCTACCATGCATATTCCAAATGACAAAAAAGATAAAACCAGTCACCTTTGACAATGTTTGGATGGAAAGAATCAAAGAGAAGGAATCAGAATCTCAGTATTAGGAAATAGTAAAATTATTGCATGAATGTTATTCAAGAATTTGGTTTAATTGAAATTCTCTAATGAAAATTATACAATTTTAACTAGAGAAAATTACAAAAACAGATAAATAAATAAAAAATACGGCTTTACCTTTTTAACAAAATAAAATCTGAGTTTTTAATTTTATCAATTTATATCCTAATCTTTTATTTATTTATTTATTTTTTAAATCTAAACCATCTGTCAATTTGAGAAGGTAATCAGAAATTTTTTTTCATTCTAATTTTTTATTCCAAACAATGAAATCATAAAAATCCAAATTACATTCTCATTTCCCTTAAAATTTTGTCATCCAAATTGAGTTTTAACACTCCGTTTGTTTAGGTGAAAAATATTTTTCAAAGGAAAACATTTTTTATTGAATTTTTTTTAAAAAAAAATGTTTTTCAGAGAAAATATTTTTCTATATTTGGTGGTGGTGGTGGTGAAACGAAGGTGGAGGTGGAGGTGGTGGCATAGTGATGGGGCGACAACAGCGGTGATGGTGGTGGTGACGGTGGTGTGGTGGTGGAGGTGAAAGTGGTGGTGGTACTGTGATGACATTGGTAAAATTTTAGTTTGAAAAATGTTTCTCACCTTTTAAAAGTGAAATCATTTTCTGTCCAGATAAACTTATTTTTCATTGATCATGAAAAATATTTTTTTGTTAACTTTCATTTTTTGTTGTTCCAAATATCAAAAAATATGAATAATATTTTTCAATTTTTTTTTTTTTGGGTCTAAACAAACGGAGTGTAAGATTATGCAATAGAGAACGTTACAATGAGCACAATTGCTTTGTGTTTCCATAAGCCCTCTCCTCTAGGTGGTTATTGTGAAAATTATAATGAATATGCATCATTCATTAGGCAATTGGTTGAACTAAAATTTCAAAATATTGAGTCAACAAAATCAGATTGTGCGCATGCTTCAATCAAAGTTTTTATTGTAATAATCAAAATGATGATCTTTTGGTTATTTTTGACCAATTGATATATTGAGGCTTCTTTTGAAACTTATGCATATGGGACCAACTTAAACCTTTCCAACATGCTAATTGCTGTGTCTTCCATGCCTGAAATAAAGAGCAAATGCAATCACACATAAAATATTAGAAAATGTTATAAATGTTAAAAAGGGCCACTCATTTAGACTTTATAATGTAAAATTTAATTTTGTTTTCTATTTTTTTGTAATTAAAATTTGAGATTGCTTAATTTTGGAGAAGGAGGCTTTGTTCTTTTTAAAAAATAATTAATAATAATAATAATAATAATAATAAATGGTCTTTGGATATATTTAATTTTTTTTATTGTTGGACCTTTGCACAATAAATGTTTTCTCAACCTTTACTATTGAGTCCCTTTGGCCAAAGGAATATTTTTATCAAACTTTATTATTGGGGGCTTTTGAATAATGATAGTGTGCTTTTAGGTCTCTAGTCAAGGGGAGGTTTCTTTTTGCAGTGTCTTTGACAATTTTTTTAAGAATAAGTTACATTGATCTTGAGTGCTGTTAGGATTTTATGAATTATTTTAATTTTTTAACTTTTTTTATACTAAAATTATTAAAAAAGACATCATTAATTTTGGAACACCTCATCTCACAATTAAATCTATACACCCACTACATCGTGAATTAGGATTTACAACAATACCCACCTCCATCACCACCCATCCATCTTCTCCAAATCCTACATTCAAAACTTACCTACTCTCAAAACCTTGAAAATCTTTTAGCGGTAATATTTCGGCAGTAACGGTAGCAATCATTTGATTATCTATACTTCTTCGGCAATGACAATGAGTTAAAGTTTTTTCAGCAACCACAACTTTATGAGACGAAAGGAGTACAACAATAAAAGTTCAGAGAAGATTCATAACTTTGATGGTATTTTTAGCTCAGAAAAGATTGGCTTTTTTCAGCAACCACAACTTTATGAGACGAAAGGAGTACAACAATAAAAGTTCAGAGAAGATTCATAACTTTGATGGTATTTTTAGCTCAGAAAAGATTGGCCTTGTGGGTAAGTTTCTTAAAAAAAAAAAATTGACAAAAATAATAAAATATGTTTGTCATTTTTTCGGAATTGAATTCCTGAATATGACCGAAATTCGAGAACATAGGGGCGAACATTGTTTATTTGTTCAGGAACCAATAACCAAACATTTATTATTTATTTGGAAACAAATTATTGAACATTAATCACCGAAGAAAAGGATGAGGTGGCATACACACACACAGAGAGAGAGAGAGAGAGAGAGAGAGAGAGCATATCAACTGTGACAATGGTTAAATCGAAGAAAAGAATGTGGCGGTAGAGACAATAATCACACTTGGCTCTTCTTCTTCTTCTTCTTCGTGGGTTTTGTTAAGGGTTTTGGAAAAGAGGTTTTTTTTGGAGTGTAGGGGTGTGAGGGGTGTGCATTCAATTGAATGGGTGGAATGTTTTTACAAGGATAATTTTGATATTATTTGGGAGGAGAAAAGAAAATTTAAGGGTTTTAAAATTTATAAGTGGAGTTAAAAACATGGTGACAAAATATTCCAAAAACTTTTAGCAACCAAAACCTAGTCTGTAGCTAAAAACTTGATTTTTAGCGACCAAATTAATTTTGTTGCTAAATAGTACTTTTGCCGACGTATTTATTTGTCGCTAAAACTACATAGTCTATCCAAATTTTAACCTTTTAGCAACATTAGAATTTTACAGCGACAAAATATTTGATTTTTGGCAACCATTTTTTGCTTGCCGCTAAATCTCTATATATGGTGACGATTTATGATTTTGTCGCCAATACTTTTAGTGACAGGCCTTTGGCGACCAATTGTGTACTTGTCGTCGATTCTTTTGGCGACGAATTTTGTATTTTTGGTGACTAATTTTTTGGTCGCCAAATGTGTTTTTTGTTATAGTAAACTTTGGACTGAGGTAATTTGTCACCTAAAATTTTAGGGTCTTTAAAAGAAACAGGACCTTACACTACAACAAAAAGCAGATTTTGCGACTAAAACTGAATTTTTCGTCACTGAAAGTAGTAGAATTGGCGACTAAAATGAAATTAGTCGCCAAAAAACAGTTTGGTCGCTGATTCTACGTGTTTTGGCGACTAAAAACAGTTTGGTCGCTGAAAGTGAAGCTTTTTGGCTACTAAAAAAAAATTAGTAGCTAAAAACAGTCAATTAGCGACTAAAATTTAGTTTAGTAAGCAAAAGGGGACGTTTTTGGCGACCAAAAATAGATTTAGTCGCCAAAACTGGTTTTTTTAGGCGGGAATGAATTTTTTTAGCGACTAAAAACTAATTAGTAGCCAAAACTATACAATTGGCGACTAAAAAATAGATTTAATCGCCAAAAGTGATCTAATTTTTTTTTTAGTAAATAATTTATTTTTTACATAAATTGTATTGAATAAAAATAATTATTTTTATATATATAGTTTTGTATAAATACCGGTCAAAGTAATATATAAATAATATATGTTGCAATTATATTCATGTGATGTTGTAGTGGCATAGTGGGGAGAGTGTGTTGGTAAAGGTTTGAAATGTGGGATGGGTCGATGGTTCAAATCTTGAGAACGGAAGAGGGTAAACTTTTTTTTTTTTGAAATATGCTTTTGGCGACTAAAAACAGTGGTCGCCAAAAGATTGACTATTGGCGACGAAAAGCTTAGTCGGCAAATGTATAAATTAAAAAAAAAAATTCACTATTGGCGACTAAAAAATTAGTCGATAAATGTATAATTTTCAAAAATGTAATTGACTATTGGCGACAAATTCTTTAGTCGCTGAAGACTAAAACTTTGCCGACTAAAATTTTTTTAGTCGCCAATACCTCTGCCGACCATCTATTCACGACAAAACCGGCGACTAAAATATTTAGTCGGGAAAAGTGAAAAGTCGACTTTTGGCGACTAAAAAAAGACTTTTGGCGACTAAATTTTTAGTCGCCAAAGGTGTTTTTTCTTGTACTGTTAAGTGACAACCTAAGCGAAGTGCTGGTTGGAATTACATTGATTGTTAATTTAAGTTTCTCAATTGTACTCATATTGACAGACTAAAGTATGTGTTAACTTTTGATTTATTTTAAACTTAGCTATAGAAGATTGTGGGGATATATTTCTTGGGTACCAACACGTGGCATGACGACGCCGACGTGTTTGGCCGAGGTACCACGTGTCATGGAAATTACGCCGAGGTGATCTCGGAGTTGCCGAGGTTGTCTCTGAAGATATCGGAATCCGAGATAAGCGGATAAGGGACAAGAGTCCTAGGACAAAGAAGGGACTTAGCCAAGATAAGGATAAAGCTCTTAGGGAGTTTATCTTTATCTCTTGAGAAATCCTAAGTAATCACTAAATTGAAGTCTATAGAAGTCATGCTTCTAGTAGGACTTGGATTGAGTTAACTATAAAAGAGAGGCACCCCCATGGGTCTAAGGTACGTAGTTTTATACTCAAGCTTGTGAGTTTAGCACTTGATTATCTTTGAGAGATATACTGACTTGATCGTCGGAGTGCCCCCGAGTGGAGGAGCCACCGCCGGAGCCCTTTCTTTCTGTTACAGGTTACTGGAGCCATCTATTCTGCCGGTGTTCTCCAGCTGATTACTAGGCGGGCAGTGTGGTAAGAAAATTACTCACACAATTTGGCGCCGTCTGTGGGAATCTTAGACGAATAGATGGCCAATGACGGACAAGGGGAAAACATTGGGGGCGAAACTCCTGCTGGGAGTGGTAGACCAATCGACCTTGACGTTGAAGGAGACAACCACAGTACAGAGAATCATGACCAGCGCCACGGAAAAAAAGACGTCAGCCAGGAGGGCGACGCTACAAAAAGGACAAACCAAAGCAAGTACTACAACGAAGATGACCTTCAGGTCTGGAGGGATAGGTGCTTATGAAGGGATGAGGAAGTAAAAGACTTGGCGAACAAGCTAGTAGACCTACAGTCAGTGGTCAACTTCATGATGCAAAACAATGTTATGCAGCCACCGTACCCGCTGCAAGATACACCGATGCCAGCAATTAATACCCAGAATGAAGGAAGAAAAGCAATCCCCGAAGCCCTTCAGCACACCAGGAGTGCAAGCCACTCTCACCGACGTTCCAGGGAAGTCGGACGAGAGGAACCAAGGCAAGAAGAGTCCCGAAGGGCACATCGCATGAAGGATCCAGGGCCCAAAGAACATCGGCATGTTCCAGGGCAAGCGCTTTGCTTTGATACAACCCATGGAGAAAGATCGAAACGGGCCCACTACGAGGCCGAAAGTAGTGTGCCGAAAAGATTGAAGTCCAAAGATAGCCGAGCTCCAGGTAGGAGTAAAGAAGACTTGAGGAACTACTTCAAAAGGAGGCAGCAGAATGTTGAAACCGAGGTGACTTCTAAAGTTAAGCCGAGAACGCCATTCTCGGTGGAACTGGATGAATTTGAAGCACCAAAAAGATTCAGCATGCCGAGGTTCCAAATTTATGATGGTAAGTTAGACCCCAACTTTCATGTTGGACTATACCTGAATTCAATGGCATTATACAGTGGGAACGAGCCATTGTTCTGCAAAGTATTTCCATCATCCTTTGGGGAAATTGCATCCGATTGGTTCCATAAGCTGCCAAAGGGAAGCGTAAAGACATGGGAAGGCCTGGCCGAGATGTTTGTAGCCAGGTTTGTGACGAACAAGCTACAGCCCTTAAGGGTCGACGCCCTGATGGCTTTAAGAATCACCAAGGAAGAAGGCCTTAGGGCCTACGCGAAGAGATACTACGAGGTGTTCAACCGAATACCCGAA